GGCGCTTCCCCCCACCCGCCTCCATCTTTTCCAACATCTCCGGCAGCCCGGGTGGCGCGATGACCTCTGCAGCGGGGGCAGGCGGGGGCAAGGGCTGGGTGGCCGGCCCGCGGGCCCGTGCGCGGAGGCTGGCGGCCGCGCCCGCGGCGCAGCGTGCGCGGGGCAAGCTGCGGGCGGGCCGACGGCCTGCTGCTCGCCGGCCGCTGCCAGCAGCAGGCGGCACCGGTGCAGGAGGCAGCCAGGCCGGTGCCTGCTCCATCCGTCAGGCAGCGGAAGGCAGGCAGCGGGCGCTGCGGCGGCGAGGGCGGCGTCCCCCGCTCACCTCCTATCGCCCCATTGAAGTCCACGATGCTGGCCAGGCGCAGGGCTATGGATCCGCCTGAGGAGGCTCCATCCACGTACACCGGCGCCCCCGCCGGCAGGCGCAGCGTGCGGGGCAGGGAGCGCACGACCTCTGCCGCCGCCCGCGCGTCGGCGGCCCACGCAAAGCAGCGGCCGCCGCCGCCGGCCCGCCGGTCCAGGCTGCTCATGGCGGCTACCGCGTAGCCGCGGGACAGCGCCTGCTTGGTCTTGGCCAGGCTGTGGGGCAGGCCTGCAGTGCCAGGGTGGGCGGGTGGAGGACAGGGCAGGCACATGACGGTGAGGCAGGCGCGGTCAGGCCAGCTGCAGAGGATGACGTATGTCGAGAGATGTGTGCGGGCGGCAATGCAGGATGCAGGCTGTAGGCACAGCACAGACAAGTGCATTGACAGGGAGCGGGGCCAACAATGCAGGGGAGGCAGGCGCAGCGACGTCGGCGCTCGGCAGCGGCGCACCGAGGCAGTCGGGGCAGGGCTGGGAGCGCGGCCAGTGGTCGCTCCCCGAGCGCCCGCACTTGTGCAGTATCAGCAGCAGGCCGACAGGGCGGGGAGGGGACTCGTAAAACAGCTCGTGCCCGGTGGAGAGCTGGGTCTTGGTGGGGGTGAGCAGCGGGAGGCCCGCGGCGTTGCGGCGGGCGGCGGCGGCGGCGGCAGCCGCCTCGCTGCCTGATGCCCCTGCCCCCAGAAGCTCGCGCACGGCTTGCACTGGCCCCACTGAGGCGCCCGGGTCCTGAGTGGGCAGGGCGGCCACTGCAAAGAGCAGGAGCGCCGCCACGGCGGCGGCCACCGCTGCCGCAGCCCGCATGGCGTACCGCCCGCGCTGGTTGGCTGAGGCTGCGGCCCTGAGCTTGCTGCTGCCTGATCGGGGTGGCGGCCCTTTCATATACACCGCATGCTGAGCCGCACCAAACTCGCGGGCCCGAACTTGCTGCCGGCACAATTCGCTTGGCGGCCGCCTGGTTGTCTGTCCACAGGCGTTAAAGGATGCAATGCAATCAGCGATTGGGCAGCGCCGACTCTAAAGCCGAGATCCAATTAGATGCTGCAAAGCGATGTGGCCTTGTTTGTGGAAGGAGCCTACTGAAGATGGTGGCCGTCCGGAAAAAGAGAAACTGGAATGTAAACAACGCCACCGGGGGCTCAGGTAGTCCTGCAGCGGCAGGCTGGCATCCCGCGCGGCCACGTCAGCGCCGCCGCATCGCCACATGCGCAGCAATTTCTTGAAATGATGAAATGAACTGTGAAGGAAGATGTGAACGAATGGAAAAAATGGCTCGCTCTTGGAAACTGAATCGGGGTGCATCGGGTGGCAGAGACGCACTCAGCCGCTCACTCCTGCCGCCCACCGGCCGCTGCCGACTGGCGTCAGGCAGCGCTGCTGCCGCGCGCGGCGGCCACCAGGCGTGCAAACATGCCGCCAGACTGCGCCAGCTGGCCTGCAGCGTGAGGAACAGGTCCACCAGCAGGGCGCATGTCGGCATCAGAACATAGGCCGACAGTAAGAACAGCTGCAGCCGCTCACAAGCACCGCCGCCCTCGCAGCCGAGTAGCCCACCTGGCGCCCCCTGCTCCAGCAGCCTCCCCGCCGACAGCACCAGCAGCTGGTCGCAGTCCATGATGGTGTCTGTAGAGGGGGCGTGTGTGTGTGTGTGTGTGTGTGCTTGGCGGGTGGGTGCATAGCGTGCGGGTGTCGGTCGGTGGGGTCGGGGGCTGTCAGTGCAAGTGTCTCGCCTGTTGCAGCAGGCGAGCAGCACCCCCCCCAAGGAGCACCGATGGCGGCAGCAGCAAGCACGCTGCCAACACCTAGCCCTTCACCGCCAATTCACAGAAAGATAGTCACCCAGCCAGCCACCCACCTATCCTGTGCGCAATCACCAGCAGGGTTCGGCGGCGGTCGCCGCGCCGCGTGCACTGCCGCACCGCCTCCTGCACCAACAAGACCATTGCCCTCCCTCTCAGCGACTGGCACCGCCACACGGAATCGCGCCAGGCAGGCCCCAGCCTGAGGCGAATGCTGAGCCCCGAGGGCAGCGGCGGCAGGCGGCGCCACTACCAGCCCTCCTGCCGCACACCCCACTGCCTCCCCTGGGCATACCTGGATCAGGGCGTCGGTCTGGCGGTCCACATTGGCAGTGGCCTCATCCAGAGCCACGATGGCGGCATCCTGCGGGGAGGGGGCGGCGTGGGAGGGTGCAAGTGGCGGGTCTATGATGTAGCGCTTGGTAGAGCGTCGGGCTGCTGTGCGAAGCATGCAAAACCAGGCGCCGCGCCGCAGCCCGCCCAGCTAGGCGGCCGCCGCAGCGCAGCCGCCGGCAGGAGGGAGCCTCAGCGGGCGCAGCGGGCGGCGGCTGCGAGCCGAAAAAAGGTGCAGCCTGGGGCGCACCTGCAGCAGCGCGCGTGCCAGGCAGAAGAGCTGGCGCTGGCCCACGGAGAGGTTGTCGCCGGCCTCCTGCGGAGTAGCAGAAGAAAGCGCGAGGTGGGAAGAAAGCGCGGCTGGGAAAAGAAGCCCGGCTGCAGCGGCGGCGGCGAGCGGCGCACCGCGGCTGCGCCCTCAACGCACGCGGCCGGCCGGCGCCCCCCCCCAGCGGTCCGCCGCCCCGCCCTGCCTCCTGCCCAGGGTGCCGCTGCTGCGCGCCCTCAGAGGCCGTCACAGCTCGAGCACATGCACTGGTGCCGCTGGCGTCCCTCTCTGGGCAGAATCTGACCAGGCAGGCAGGGTGCCTCCCTCCCAGCACCCTCTCACCTGCATGTGTGCATCCAGGCCGCCCAGTGCGGCCACCACGCCGCCCAGCTGGGCGGCCCGCAGCGCCTCCCACAGCCGCCCGTCCTCAAAGGTGCCCCAGGGGTCCAGGTTGGAGCGCAGGGTGCCTGCACGCAGGAGGAGCAGGGCGGCAGGTGCTGCTTGTGTGTGTGTGTGTGTGTATGTGTGTGTGTGTTGCGGGGGAAGGCGCAGGGAGGAACTCAAAACGCTCACTGCCGATGCTCACAGCACCTTGCCCCTTGCTCGGCCCCACCGGCACACACGCACACCATGCAGACCCACTGCTGACCAGCGGCGCCGCCGGCCCCCGACCTTCACCTGAGAAGAGCACCGGGTCCTGGGGGATGATGGCCACCTGGCGGCGCAGCGCATCCAGCGCCACGCCAGACGTGTCCAGGCCGTCTGGGGGGGGGGACGGGGACAGGGAGCGGAGCATTTCAACATGGGACCGGCAGGAGCGATGGCGCAGGCTGGCAGGGAGGGAGGCAGGCAGGCAGGAAGGCAACCAGCAGGCAGGCAGGCAGGCGGGCACGCTGCCGGCCACTCAATGGCCCGGGCGGCTCCCCCAGCTGCCGGCAAAGGCAGCCGCTGCCGCTGCAGGAGCTGCCACCCTGCAGGCAGGCTGCATCCGGGGCAATGCAAGGACCACAGCGGCGCACCGATCAGGATTGCGCCGCTGGTGACGGGGATGAGGCGGAACAGAGTGAGCATCAGCGAGCTCTTGCCGGAGCCCGTGCGCCCCACCACGCCGCAGCTCACGCCGCCCTGCAGCTTACACGAGGAGGCGCTCAGCGGACAGGCGCGCTGCGCCACGCGCAAATTGCGCTGCACTGCTGTCGCATGGGGGGGCCAGGTAGGGTGCATTGGTGGCGCTGCCGTGGCATGCTAGGGAGGGCAAGGGGCACCAATTCCCGCGGCTTCCAGGCGGCTACCTCCAGCGTGAAGGTCAGGTCCCGCAGTACCGGCGGCAGCCCCGAGCGGTAAATGGCGGTAACATCGCGGTACTCGATTCGGCCGGCGGCCGGCCAGTCTGCACGCGTAGGGCAAGGCAGCGGCGATGGTGGTGACGGTGGCGGCGGCGGCGGTGGTGGTGGTGAAGGTAATGGGAAGTTGCAACGGAGGGCGAGGGAGCAGGGGGCTTGGCGGCTTGCAAGATGCCTCCAGGGGAAGCAGATGGGGGCACCAAGCACAGCACCACAGCGCAGCAGCAGCCGTGCCAAGGGCGCGGCCCCAGCGGCGGCGGCCGGCAGCGGGCCCGTCGTGTGGCCCTGCCGCAGGCTGGGTGGGCGGCGCCGGCGGGTGACGCACCTGGCGGGGGCTTGGGCCCTCCTCCCGCCAGCGTGGCGGGCTCCTGCTCCAGACGGGTGTAGTGAAGCATGCGCTCCACTGCGGGCCACATAAGGGTGGTGGGCAAGGGGTGTGGTGTTTGTGAGTGGGCGATGTGAGTGGTGGAAGGGGTGTGGTGTGGAACTCAATGAGCGTGGCGTCGCACTGTGAGCCAGGGATGCCGCACACACACAGCACACCACCCGCCCAACGCACACACACGGCAAGCACACCACCCGCCCAACGCACACACACAGCAAGCACACCAACCGCCCAGCGCACACACACAGCAAGCACACCAACCGCCCAGCGCACACACACAGCAAGCACACCACCCTCCCAACCCACACACACAGCACACACACACACAGCAAGCACACCACCCGCCCAACGTACACACACAGCAACCACGCCGCCCGCCCAGCCACAAGCGGCCGCAAGCACCTCCGTTGCCCACCTGATGTCATGTTGTTCTCCACCTCTGCCGACTGCCGCACCATCCACTGCAGCATGCCCGCCAGCTGCAGCGACTGGGTGAGCGCCAGGCCCGCCAGCCGCGCGGACAGCTGCAGCAGAGGGCCATGGGAGGGGCGGCACGAGCGCGGGTGGAGCCGGAATGCGCCGTGCCGCAATGCGAGGCTGCAAGCCTTCTGAAATCCCCAGCCCGGCAAACACCAGCATTGCTGGCGCGGCATCGGCGAAACAGGCAGCAGCGCCACCTCAGCGCGCCTGCCACCTCAGCCCGCCCGCCCGCCACCTCAGCGCCCACACCCACCCTGTCGTGCACCGCCATCATGAGAAGGGGTGCAGCCGTCATCAGAAGCGCCACAAGCAGGTCCAGGCGGAACCCGATCCAGCGGGCTGGCAGGCAGGCAGGGAGAGCAGGGAGAGCAGGAGGGAGAGGGGGTGAGGGAGAGTGAAGCGTTCGGGCAGGCGGGCCTTGCGGCAAGGGCACGCGGCCGGCATGCACTCAACCGCACGCGCACACAAACAACAGCCACGCACACACAAACCACAGTCACGCACACACAAGCCACCGCCCCCACCCCAGCTCCCCAGCCAACACACACACGCTCTCAAACACACACGCACTCGCACACACACATATCCACGCAAAGCCACGCCCACAGCCACCTGTTGTGAGGAAGCAGAACCACCAGGCCCCGTTGTCCGACAGCTCTTGCAGGAAGGCGGAGCGGAAGCGGGGCCCCGCGCCGAAGGCACGGATGGTGGGCAGGCCCTGCGGGGCGCAGGGCAAAAGTGTTTCTGCAGCGAGGTGCGGCGGAGAATGCAGGGGCGGGGCCATGCCGCATGCACATGCACACACCGACACCGCAAGCACTCGGGCGGCCGGCACGTGGTGCTGCCGACTTGGACGCTCTAATTTCAGTTGCCGCTGCCGACTTTGCCGCACATCCGCATCCCTCTCCCCGCGCGGCGCCCACCTTGAGTATGGCGGAGAAGGAGGCGAAGACGGGGCTGCGGCTGGTGGCCTCCCAGCGCTTGATCTCGCGGCTGGTGCGCAGGTAGCGGGCGCGCACCAGGAAGAAAGCGGCGCCCAGGGGCAGGAAGAGCGGGATGATGAAGGGCACCGACACCATGAGCTGCGGTGGTGGCGGGCGGGGGGTGGGGTGGGGTGGCCAGATGGGGTGAGGGAGGGCAGAGGCGCGAGGATACAGGAACCACACACACACACACACAGACATAGACATACAACCGCAACCACACCATTGCACCCCGCCGGCACAGCCCCCACCCACCCGCCACACCCACACACTCATCCACCACACCCACACCACACACCCACACCCACACCCAAACCCACACCCACACCCACACCCACACCCACACGCGCGCGCGCCTCACCAGCGCAAACGCGCCCAGCACCATCATCAGCGCCAGCACGCAGTCGAAGAAGACCTGCGGCAGCTGCTCGTCCACCTGCCCCTGGTCCTTTGAGAAGCGGTTGAGGATGCGGCCGGTGGGGGAGGTGTGGAAGAAAGACAGCGGCGCGCGCAGCACCTGCAATGTGTGTGTTTGTGGTGGGGTTGGGGTGGGCGGGGCAGCAGCGTGTGCATGCGGCCGGCCAGCGCTGGCAGCAAGCAGCAAGCCTGGCTGACAGCTGGCGGCGGCATGCAGCGCTGCCGGCCAGCGGATGCGTGGCCGGCGGCAGGCCAGCGGCGGCCGGCGGCCGGCGGCAGCAGCCAGGGCAGGCGCTGGTGGCGGGCCATCTGGCGCGGGCGCCTCACCCGCTGCACCATCTCGTCGTGCAGCTGGGTGCTGGCCCGAAGGGACGCCATAAAGAACAGCAGGCTGCGGGCGGGAGCAGCCGCCGGGAAGCCAGCAGGGCGCGTTCAGCAAGGAAGGGGGCGGGCAGCGGGGTGAATGCTATCTCTCACTTGCCCCTCCCTCTCTGACTCTCTCGCCTCTCCTTCTCCGACTCTTTGTTGCGCTCGCTCGTTCGCTCTCCGCCCCCCCACCCAACCCCCACCCAACCCCCCAACCGCACCCACCTACATACATACACAACCTCCCGCCTGTTGCGCTGTCGCCAGCAGCACCCCCACCACCGCCACCACACCACCACCACACACACACACACCACCACCTCCACCATGCCCGCCCACCTGCGTGAGAATGAGATGGCCAGGATGGCTCCCACCATGATCGCGTACCCCCACACCCAGTACACCTCCCGCTGCGCCTCCCCGTCCTTGCTGGCCCACAGCGACAGCCAGTAGTCGCCAAACAGGTAGATGGCCTGGCCCAGCAGCAGGCCGGCTGCGGGCAGGTGGAGGGGAGGGCAGGTGATCGGGGGGGCAGGCAGATCAGCCAGCAGGCAGGCAGGCTGCCAGGCGCGCAGGCGGGCTGGCAGGAGGGCAGGCGGGCGGGAAGAACAGAAGGCGTGGCAAGAGACTGACCTGTGATGAGTGTGACCACCGGGAGCCCCATGCGGGCGCCGTACCGCCCGTACACGGCCCAGGGGACAGACCCTACCGCATGGTCCTCGGCCACGATCAGCCGGCCTGCGGGGCAAATTTCCGAGGAGAGGTGTCGGGCAAGGGGTGGCAGGACGCATGGGGCGAGGCTGGCAGGCATGCCGAGACGTGCTAAGACTCTGCAACGCATGGGCGGCGGAGGCCGGCCTGAGGGCGTAGTACCTGACTTGCCCGGCTGGAGGGAGCCCTTGCCGGCGGCCTGCTCCTGCTCCTCCTCGCTCCCCTCCTCGCCCTCGCCCTTGCTGGCCACTCGGGCGCGCCGCTGGCCGCTCGCAAACCGCGCCGACACCGCGCGCCGCACGTAGCTGCCGCTCAGCTTCCGCCGCCACCCGGCGCCGCGGCTGGCGCCGCCCGCGCCACCCTCCGCCTCGCCAAACAGCACGCTGACTGAGCGGTCGAAGCGAGTCGTCTTGGCGACGCTGGCATGGAGCTGCCGCTCCGCCTGCTCGTCTCCTTCCAAATGCCCATCCGCTGGCGGAGGCTGCTGCTCAAGCTGCACCTGCTCCTCTGCCTGCTCCTCCTGCTGCGAGCCGCTGCCTGCAGGACTGCCGCCAGGGGCGCCGTCCGCGGCAGCAGCCGCAGAGGGCGCGGAGGGCGGCGCGGCGCCGTGGGAATCGTATGTCGAGTCGTCCAGAGAGGTCTCTGCACGTGTGTGGCAGGAAGACGAGGAGGCACGTGCGGCCGCGCAGCAGTGGGAACAGCGTCGCAGCGCATGCAGCGCGTGCAGAGGGTGGGCGAAATGCCAGGCACGGCGCCGGCTTCCTGCCAGCTGCCGCAGGACGGGCTTCGGCCAGGCAATGGGCCATCCAGCCGAAACCGGCTGCCTCACCTTGCGAGGCAATTACTTCGGGCACCCCGGCCGCTGCCAGCTCGGCGTGCGTGCCCCTGCAGGACAGGACCAGCGGCAGCGGCAGCCCGCGTGAGGGAGCCAAAGACACTGACAAAAACATGGTAGTGCAGAGGATAGTCCTCTGCTGGTGCTCCACTGGCTATGCCAGGCTGATGTCAGCACCGGAGAGGCACAGAGCCCACGCGTGCTTGCCCATGCAGCCACCCAGCCAGGCAGCCCAGCCAGCGAGTCAGCCAGCCAGCCAGCCAGCCAGCCGCGCCCCTCACCTGTGGGCGATCTCGCCGCCGCGCAGCACCAGCACCTCGTCGCATCCGGGCAGGAACTGGCGCTGGTGGGTGACCAGCAGGCGGGTGGTGCCTGCAGTACAGCAGGCCCACAGTGGTACATGCAGTACAGGTCAGCTCGCTGTGCACCCCTCCAAGGTGCCTGCCACATCCTCGGTCCAAAGTAATAGTGCAGTTGAGGCATGCAGGTGCACTCAACACGCGTCACGGGGCAGCCGCTAGGGCCGTGCCGGCACATCAGCCCGGCCCGCCCACCTGCCATCAGGCCTGTGCCGGCGATGCAGTCATCAAAGAGTATGCGGCCCACCCGCGGGTCCACCGCCGACAGCGGGTCGTCCAGCAGCTGCGGTACAGGGGGAGGTACAGTGAGGCGGTACTGTGATACGAGGGGCGGTGCAGCCAGCAGGGAGCGGGAGCAGGCTCAGGCTGCGACAGCTGGCGCCAGTGGCGTGGCAGCCGGCGCCAATGGCAGGCGGCCAGCGCCGCGACGCACCTGGATCTCCGCCTGAGAGTAAGCGGCCCGCGCCAGCGCCAGCCGAGCCTTCTGCCCGCCTGCGGGCGGGCACGCGGCGCAGCAGACACGCCGCCGCCGGTCAGCAGGTGTTGTGCCAGCCGGCAGCCGGACTGGCAGCCTCGGCCGACGCTGCTCGCCAGCGCGCCGCTGCGGTGGCTTGTGCCTCCAGCGCTGCCATGTCAACACGCGCATGACAGAGCAGCTGAAGAAACACAGTCTGCTGAAGAAAGAAACCAATTCCCAAAAACGACGCACCTGACAGGTTGATGCCTCTCTCTCCGAGCTCCGTCTCGTCACCAGCTGGCAGCGCTGTGATGTCGTCTGCACAGCGCAGCGCAGCAGCTCAGCACAGCGCAGCATGACACAGCACAGCACGGCAGGGCAGCAGTCCAGCCACCAGCTGACGGCTGGCGTCCCAAGGCTGACAACAACCCTCTGCCCCCGCACCCCCCTGTACCGGCCGACAATATGGCCAAAGCGAAAGGGCGAAACTCAGCTCACCTTCCAGCGCACAGGCCCGCAGCACGGCTTCGTACTGTGTGGCTTCGTATCGCTGTCCAAACAGGATGTTCTCCTGCGAGCGGCAGCGGCGGCGGCGGCAGAATGGACGGTGAGTGGAGCCTCTTCTCGCGCCGCGTGGCCGACAGGTGGCACCGCGGCAGTGGGCTGCGCTGGCGCATCAGCCCGCGGGCCAACCCTGCATGCCAGGTCATTGCCGACACTGCCACGGCAGCCTGGCCCCCATGTGCTTTCAACAATCGTTTGTCAGGGCCATTCATAGCATCAGTCGGCAAAATGAGGAGGAATTACCCTAAATCGCCCCTAACCCCTAAATTACCTTCACTGTGCTGCTCACAATCCAGGGCACCTGGCTGCTGTAGGCCACGCTGCCGCGGACCGTCACTGGCGGGGCCGCCGCCACGCCCGCGCCCGCCGCCGAGGCGCCCCCGCGCTGGGTGGGCTGCAGCTCGCCCAGCAGCGCCGCCAGCACGCTGCTCTTGCCTGTGGGGGTGGCAGGCGAGGAGCCGGGAGCGGCATGTAGGGAGGGAGCGGGAGGCTCAGGGGCTGCCTATGTGGCAGGCTCCAAGCGCGGCTTGCCAGCTGCTGTGAGAGGAAGGAAGCTGGGGCAGAGTGGGCTGGCTCGGCAGGGCAGAGAAGAGGGGCTTCCCATGCTGCGGAGGCGCACCTGACCCGACGGTACCCACGATGCCCACCAGGCTGCCGCGCGCCACAGAGAACCGCAGGCCACGCAGCTGGAAGGCGGGCGGGGCGGGCGCTGCCTCACCAGCTGCCTGCTGCCCCGCGGTGGCCTGCACTGCCTGGAAGGCCGCTGCGGCTGCCGGCTCGTCATCACGCGCTGAGCCTGCCGCTGGTGCTGCAGCGGCGGCAGGCTCCGCCCAGGATCGGTCAGCCCAATCGAAATCCGCGCCGGCCACCTCCACCGCCGCTTCCGCCGCGGCAGCAGGCGTCTCCTGCTGGCCGCCGGGAGCGCCGTCGCGGCCGTTGGCCGTAGCACCGCCGCCGCTGCCTGCGGAGGCGCCAGGCGTGGCGTGCCAGGGCTTGGGGGGCTCTGGCAGGGACAGGAAGGCGCCCAGGCGGCGCATCGAGATGCGCAGCTCAGACACGGACCCCACCTGCAGGCGCATGCCGCCGCGGCGGTTGAGGGGGTGACCGGGGCATGCGCGCGGCACGGGGCCGGCCTAGAGGACGACGCTCGCCCAGCAGCACACCCCCACCCCCACAGCGACCTCGCACTTCCAGGCACACCCCTCTCCCCACTCTGTCGGCGTCACCACCACCGGCAGGCCGCCTTCCCCCTCTCCCAGCGGTGCCACCGGTACCGCCGGTACCGCCTGGAGCTCACCGCCAGCACGAAAAAGTCGCACATGTAGAGCTTGGGCAGGGCCAGCAGGGCCAGTGAGTAGAAGAGGTTTGGCACTGTGAGCTGGTCTGTTGAGGTAGCCCGCGCTACGCCAAACGCCGCCAGCGCAGACTGGCAGGGGAGGGAGGGTCGGGGGCGGGGGCGGCTGAGCGGTGGCTGGGAAACAGGACAGCAACAACCAGCTAGCCGGCCAGCAGCGGCAGCCGTTGCAGCAGCACCCAATACAGCCGTAAAAGAAAGGCTGCGAAG